AGTTGCACCCCAACCGTAGCACATGGAAAGGCATGGTCCGGCGGGTGCCTCCATCCTTTGTGTGGTTTCAGCAGAATCTCCCCAGGAATTACCGTGGTATTGTCATTGCAACAAAAGTGACACCTCTCCGTTTTACACGTGTCACGTGCGGTGGGGGTCACCCGCATGCATCGTGCATAGTAAACTGCTTGTAAGAAGGGTATACCCTACCCCACACAAAAAACCGCAAGTGAATCGGTCCAGTGGTTGCGGAGATATAACTCCTGCAAAAACGTCCCCACGGCGGTCGGCTGCTAATATTTAGCATTAAATCGCATCCTTCAATGAGAGGTATCCCCGTCACCTGTTCGTATACTGTCTGAGCTAAGACCATATATAGGTCTGAGCTCAAATCTCGATAGAGTCGTGCTTTTTTACTGAATTTCTCAAAAACGGCACAGCGTGCAATAACGCTCTATATATCATTGGAAAGAGCATCAAAAGTTGTATATCCTATCAACTTTTCACTTAAATATATCTTCAACGTACAAAGTTATTAAGCACCAAAGACGCTCCAATTGACTTTCCATGTTAAAAATTTTCATTTTTAAACGAGCTTAAAAAGTACAAACGAATTCTGACAGCTTAACGAAGCATAACAACATGTTCTATGGTCTCTTCTCAACAGGTCCTGAAAGTTTAAACAAAATCGTATCATATAATTTTGTACAATGAGCGAATGAAAATGTCTCTGCAAAAACGCCCATTGCCTTAACATGGGGAGCGAAAAAAGTTCAACTTCAAAGTCGTACTACAAAAAATATCGACTTCTTACGGGTATACGGTACACGGGGGCGTGTACCTGAACGTGTCGGCCATAAAATGATGTGCAGCAAACCATACCTTGACCTGCGATTTTCCCCGCTATTGGCGATCGCGCAAAAAGTGTCCAAAACCCCGTTGACTTAACATGGGGAAAATGGAATCGCACGTGCCACGCGCAAAAGAATTCTGAGCGAGTAGCGACCGGTGCCATCAGGTAGACCGCCTGCGGGAGCCCATACCCTGAAATTTTTACGAAGATTGAGCCATTCGTCTAGGCCCCGGTCAAGATGTCTCGATTCGCTGCCAGACTTGCAAAACATAGCCCGGAGAACGACCGCTCCGGTTGTTTTTCAATAGAAAAACACAATTCTAACGAATAGTGTTTGTCTTTTCAAACAACCTGCGGTTACAACCTGCGTAGTGTTTGTCTTTTCAAACAACCTGCGGTTACAACCTGCGGTTACCAGCATCTGCGATGCTGGGCTCCGCATCGCGGGACCGCAGGTTGTTTGAGCAAGCACCTCTGTAACGCCGCAAAAACGGCCGCCGCCAAACGAGAGGAGGAGCCTTGCACGTGCAGACCGGAGTGGGTGTGCTACGAACTGACGTGCACTGCACTCTACTAACCGGTCTCTAGCGTTGTGCCAAATTTGAGTGCAATCGACCCGGCCGTTTTCGAGATCGGGAAGCGACACCCTGCACGTGCGCACGTGCAACCTGGATCCCAATTGACTTGTGCACGGCACTCTATTCGCCGGTCTCTAGCGGTGTACCGAATTTAATCTGAATCGGCCCAGCCGTTTCCAAGATCTTGAAGTGACCCCTACACGTGCGCACGTGCAGCTGCACCCCAAACGTGGCACATGAAAATACATACTAACTGACTTGTGCACGGCACCCTACTAACCAGTCTCTAGAGCCGCGGTATGCCTATTTTGAGCACAGTCGGCCCAGCCATTCTTGAGATCTGGAAGCGTCGCCCTGCACGTGCGCACGTGCAAAATGGGACCCATCTGACTTGTGCACGGCACCCTACTCGCCAATCCCTAACGGTGTGCCAACTTTTATCACAATCGGCCCGGCCGTTCTCGAGATCTGGAAGCGTCACCCTGCCCGTGCGCACGTGCAGCGGCACCCCCACCGTGACACACAAATGCATTGCCCGGCGGTTGCCTACATCCATGCCAAGTATCAGCGCAATCGGCAAAATAACTACAGAGTTATTAGACTTGTTACCGAACTGACACCTTATCGTTTTGCATGTGGCACGTGCATTAGGGGTCACCCATACGCATCGAGAATAGCACACTACGTGTAAGAAAGGAAGGAGCTATCCCACACAAAAGACCGCGAGTGAATCAGTCAAGCAGTTGTGGAGATAGAAGCTTTGCAAGGCGCCCCCACGGCGGCCGACTGCTAATATTTAGCAATAATCAGTGTCGCATCCGCATACGGGAGGTATCCCCGTCACCTGTTCGTATACTCTAATGTGGTTGGGTTCAAGTCACAGTCGAGCCCTGATTTTTTACAGCTTTTCTTAAAAACGGCACATCGTGCAGTGACGTTCAATGCATCAGTGGAAAGAGCATCAAAAGTTGTATATTATATTAACTTTTCACCTTTATATATTACTAACGATAAAAGTTATAGAGGAATAAAGACGCTCCCATTGACTTTCCATGTTAAAAATTTCCATTTTCAAACGAACTTTATTAGAAAAAACAATTTTGCACAGCTTTACGAAGCAAAACAGCATATACTATGTTCCTTTCTCAACAACTCCCGAAAGTTTGTACGAAATCGTGACATATAATTTTTTACAATGCGCGAATGAAAATATATCTGCAAAACTGTCCATTCACTTAACATGGAGCACAGCAAAATTCCAACTTTGACCTCGTGCAAAGAAACGTTCCGAGATTCTGACGGGTATACGGCGCACACTGGCGTGTACCGGAACGTGTTTGCCATAAAATGCTGGGATGAAAACCACCCCTTTCTTGGCTCGTTTGTCCGCCATTCGCGATGACGCAAAAAGTGCCCCAAACCCCCATTGACTTAACATGGGCGAAAATTGAAACGCACGTGCCACGCGCAAAAGAATTCTGAGCGAGTAGCGACCGGTGCCATCAGCTAGATCGCCTTCGAAAGTCTATACCCTGAGATTTTTACGAAAATCGTTGCAGAAGTTTTGGCTGGAATCAAGTTGTACTGATTCGCGGCCAGACATGCAAAACATAGCCCGGAGAACGACTGCTCCGGTTGTTTTTCAATAGAAAAACACAATTCTAACGAATAGTGTTTGTCTTTTCAAACAACCTGCGGTTACAATCATCAGAAATGACAAAACCGTCATGTGTCAGCACGGAGCTTAGGTCACAGGGGTCCCGGCCCCCGGTGGGACGTAGCAGGTCAGCAGTCGTAGCAGGCGACGCGAAGCTTGGCTGTTGTCCCTCATCAAGAAGCGGGCCGACGTCCGGAGGCACCCAAACTGTCTGTAATATGTAGAACTGCTTTACTCGATTTCTGTTCATTTAGTTTACTTTCTTTTGGTTATCAGGTGGGGCAGCAAAGGTCAAAAGGAACGTGATCCGATCACTCCTACCACAATTGTAAAGCGTGATTTACTATTAGTTTTACGATCCAATAGCCATACCAGCCAAGCAAGTTCTGTGCAAACTTTGCGACCGCGAGTTCCGAATTGCACTGTCTGCAACAAGATTTGACAATTAGGTAGTCAGTACATGCAACGGGTCTTTGCGTCGGGTTAAAGCCTGGCGCTTGAGGCTTGAGAGTTGAGCCATGGCAACAGTGTGACAGCGCAAGAGTGAAGCGGTAGGATCCACACGCTTGCATTTTATTCATCCAAAGATCTCGTGATAACATTACCTATAAGTATACACGCATGCGCCTAAATTCTATGTCATATTAGTGTCATATTAGTATGCCATATTAGTCTATGTCATATTATGTCATATTATCGCCAAGAACTGTGGCGTAGGGAGGTAGCAGAGGACGCCTGTTAAATGTTTGATGCTGTTGTCACAGGGTGTTGTCTTGAATTCGGCAAATTGAGCTTCTAAAGAACGACCACTCGCCTGTCCGTCTGTTCGTCTGTCTGTCTGTCTGTCCGTCTGTCTGTCCGTCTGTCTGTCCGTCTGTCTGTCCGTCTGTCTGTCCGTCTGTCTGTCCGTCTGTCTGTCCGTCTGTCTGTCCGTCTGTCCGTCTGTCTGTCTGTCCGTTTGTCTGTCCGTCTGTCTGTCCGTCTGTCTGTCCGTCTGTCTGTCCGTCTGTCTGTCCGTCTGTCTGTCCGTCTGTCTGTCTGTCCGTCTGTCTGTCCGTCTGTCTGTCCGTCTGTCTGTCCGTCTGTCTGTCCGTCTGTCTGTCCGTCTGTCTGTCCGTCTGTCTGTCCGTCTGTCCGTCTGTCTGTCTGTCCGTCTGTCTGTCCGTCTGTCTGTCCGTCTGTCTGTCCGTCCGTCTGTCTACCCGCCTGTCCATCTGTCCATCTGTCCGTTCCGCCCGTGCGCTACAATACGTTATGCTGAGCAGCAAGTCTGCATAGGTAGACTGTACCGCATCACTTCATTGTAATGCGGGCTAGTCTACCAATTCAGGCATCCGACGCTCCATTGCTCAAAACGGTACGCTGCAGCCGTAAAGCTTTGCCTGTCGCGTGCGTTTGTGATAATGTGAACTGACGTTTTGTTATCAGTGTTTGCGAGGTGAATTTAATTTGTAGAATGGTTGGATCGTATTGCTTCAGTGCTGTTTTAGGATTCACTGTGCGATAAAGCGTAAAGCGATAATGATTTTGCAGAGGTTTTACTGCGTAATAATAAGTGAAACGGCTGAGGTTTCATTGCTGCCGTGTTGATCCATGGCTTATAATCTTGATTTTATCGCCGCAAATTGTTAAGAAGCATATTACAGAAATGCAATGGCATTCGCATTGCTGAAATATGTGTCATGTTATTAGAACAAAATCGATAAAAAATAAAAGTTGTTCGTAGAACCAAATTCATGAAGCGAAAATACTAAGAGCAGAAATTAACGTTTTAAATTGACAGTTGTCGCACTAACGCAATGCTTTTGCACAGATTTTCTGGAAACGATTCACTTATGACGATTGAGAACCATATCAACTCAGTTGACTGCACCCCAGTTTTTAATTTATCTTTCCCATCGGTTCTTTACAGAAATGCATACTTGATCAAGACGCCTGGGACACACCTTTTGGTACCAGAAAAGTGTGAGTTTCGTTGTCAATGAACGTTGATAGTTGTTGAGTATTTTGGAAGTGTGTACTATCCATCTTGTGTATCGTTTTATGAAGACATGGTAGAGTCGAAATCCTACCAATTAGTTGATAAACATGGTTTGGTATCCGACAATTGACCAAAGTAATAAGTAGCCCTGCGATAAACCATAAGCAACCGTTGCAGTTCAAATCCATTCTATCTAACATTTACCAGACAATATCTCCCATTTTCTCCGCCAGATGTCAGTGGATACACCGCCTCCATTTCGCTACCGTGCTCCCAGCAAAGTACACTACATGGACGCCGACTACCAGAATAAAATGGGCCCCAATATGGAGCCCTGGGCTAGCCCGGCTGGAGAGGAGGAAGAAGGACCTGCCGCCGGACAAGTGGTGAAGACGTTTCTTTCCGAGAGGCTGTCTGCTCACGCGATACCAAGGATCTTCAAAAGTCCGTCAATGGTAAGAAGGCAAGCATAAATGACGTAACGGTAAGACAGCTGAAAACAATTGGAGCTCAATTACGGAACAGTGGCACTAAGCATACATGTAAAAAAGTCAACAGTGCAGTCCAAACATCAACGGCACGAGGCAGATATTGACGTTATACCAACTAAGAAATACATAACTAAGAGCTTAAAAACATATGCAAGCTACACTGTAATGAACCCTCATATTTGCTTAACCCGCGCCCAAGTGTGTGTGTGTGTGGGGGGGGGGGTGTTTGAACACCCCCGTCCGGTTTTTCGTAGATATCTAAAAAACGGCGGCTGGTGCACCTTATCATACATCAATTCTACACATGTTGTGAAAATTTCAGACCAAGGTCATTCAAGGTCAGGTCACCAGGTCACTTGAAGTGACCTCACCTCATAAAAAGTTTCAATGTTTGCCATAGCTAGACCGAGTGACCGATCACTTTGAAACTTTCAGCGATTAATGAGGGTAACAGTAGCTATAAAATGTATATCTCGGAATTTTGATATCGGTGACCTAAGGTCAGGTCAATTTTGCGGCCTCTCCATTATAAGTCAATGGGAGAAAATTGAAAAGCGTCTGTTTTGCACGAACGCTATTCTAAACACTCGCAAACATCGAGATGTAGGTAAAATTGACACACTGAACCAGAAAATGGCAACTGTGACCCCTCGTTATGTCCCCGAGGTCATCTCAGGTCACGAACAGAATCTAACAGTTTTTCGCTAATAACTACTGATAGAGGCGTGCTAGAGCGCTGAAAACGCCTTAGATGTGTTCGGCTCGACGTTGCGGATCGACTGATATGCAACATGACCTTTTCCGGTCAGGTCACGACCTTGACCTGAGGTCAAATTTTCAAGTTGACCTTTCAAGGTCAACTTATAGTTCATTCGACGCTTCTCGACGAGAGGAACACGATGCTGGCAAAAGTATGTCATGGCTCTTTTGAGTCAAAACTTGTCGCCGAAAAACCGATTTTCGTAAAAACGGCTATTTTTGGAGTTTTTGCCCTCTTGAGGCTAAACCGTTGACCTGAGGTCAAATCTGAGAACATCACTCAGAAAGGTCTGTAAAAGGGCTATCGAATGCGCTTTTCGGCGGCGCTGTAGCTCTATCGGTTCCGGAGATAGCCGTTGGCAGTTTCCAAAATGTTGAAATAGTCAACATTTTACCTTTGGTGACCTCTGGTGACCTGACCTTTGACCTGACCCAAAAAATGACCGAAGCGTTTTCGTCCTTATTTTTAACGTTCTTTCGATTGCCGCTTACCGCGTGTCGCTACGTGGCCTAGAAGCCGAGTTAGAAGGGGGGTGTTCAAACACCCCCCACACCAGGTCGTGGAAAATCCAGACTGACACTGGGGCGCGGGTTAAACACAGTGACGTCAACAGGAAGCTATTTTACCGAACATACAGCACATTTCTTAACATGCCGTATATTTCGTAAATACTGCTCAACTATCAAAAATTCCCACAAACACGCTAAAGTCCAGTTCGTTACACGAAGTTCAGCCACAACAGCACCTATTGCTCGTTCCGCGTACGGGACATCATCAGAAAATACATAATATAACCTGCAGTTTGTCGTCGGCCCTTACACCAGACAGTTAACCAACCAACACTGGTTGGTCTGGCATGACCAATGGTCGTAACGGGCCTTGGCCGTAACCATAACTCATAGTCGATAACTCAGCGACCAAATCACCTGGGTTACGAGTTACGACCCACCAAACCTGACCGTAGCATTGCGTAGCGGTCGTTCAGAACCCACTGGAACTGACCTGCCTCGCAATTGTCGTTACAAATGGTCAGTGCTAAATTTCCCCGAAGTTATTAGAACTCTTGGGCGTTGATGGTTGAACTGCATTTAGTCACGTTTTATCCGCTACATATTGCCACTTAAGTGCGACACGGGAATTCATTATGTAGTTGACATTAAAATCGGCCAGAACGCTTTAAATATCTCTCGTAAAATTATGTTGCAGTAGGTGAAAGCTCTAATCAAACATGAAATATCAAACACGAAGCATGAAACAAACATCAAACATGAAACAAACATCAAAACAAAATCAAAAATGACAAAATCAAACAAAATCAAACAAACAATAAAATCAAACATGACACAAACATCAAACATATTGATTTGAAAAACAGCTTCCGTAAGCCGCCAGACTGGCTATATTATAGGCTCCATCAAAATTCTAGTGACCTGGATTGTGGCGTAGTTCTAGTGGTTTAAGTGATAGGTCCAGTGCAGTGTTTCGGGTTGATATATCATGGGGTGGCCCATAGGGCGGTTCAAGTGATCCCAATTACGAATCATTTAGATTTTATTGAAACTTTTATCTGCAGTTTCATAATTTGTGGAGGTTATTTAACGCTCCCTGGCTGGTGCTCCTGATGCACCAATGCAGCTGGTGAAAGACCTTCGCTCCTTGTTTGACTCTAAGCTTTGCACACTGACTCCACCAAGCTTACTAACCAGTGACCTTACTAAGGTACTTCTTAGTATGAATACGAGCTTATTGACCTTACTATCCTTGCTTTCCGATAGGCGTTTTACACCGAGCTTACTTCGTCGTTAACGAGTCAACCAGTCAGGGGCCCGGGAACGATTTTCAAGTTGGGGGGGGGGGGGGGGGGGGCGAGCCTAAAATACCTGACATGATGCATATGAAACAGTGGCGTAGCTAGGGGTCTAAGGGGACACGTACCCCCCCCCCATCGGGATAAAGGGGACCCTCGGGTCCGAGGGGCCCTGCGGCGCCATTTGACCGCTGAGGGTTAAAACCCGCGCCCCGTAGGGGGGGGGGGGCCGAAACGGCCCCCCCCTGTCCTTTTCGGTCGATATCTCCTAAACGGCTGGAGATATCGCCACCAAACTTTCAGGACCCCTCCGGGCATCAATTTTACACATTGTGACCAAAAATTTTCCAGAGGCTATGATAGGTTGGCCACAAATGACGTCAGAGTGACGTCATGTTCTGTCATTTTCGACCGAAAAAAGACCTTCGCGAGAAGACCTGTCAGGACTACAGCTTTGAAGATACAGAAAAATGATCAAGACATAAAAGGTGTAGAATTGACAGGACTACAAAACTGCTATCTCGAATTTTTGAAATTTTTGAGTTTTGACCCCCAAAAATCAAAAAAGCATTTTTTTGGATATATTCGCCAAAAAATCCAAAAAGTTTTTTGAATTTCGAAAAAAACCGGAATATATGTGATAGTGCCTACCGTCTTCTATCTACATACCAAATTTCAGATCGATACCTCGTTTTTTGGCCAAGTTATAGCGAAAAAACTGTTCAAAAATGATGACGTCAAATTTTCAAACTCAATTTTTGGCAATTCTAGAACTCGTAGAGCAAAACGAAGACCACCATTAGACTCCCCGTGACGAGCTGCATCGAATCGATACCCATTTTATGCAAAAATATCAACTTTTAAATTTGACCTAATTTGACCTGACCTTGACCTGACCTTCACAAAAACGTGACCTAGGCTGGCCCCAAAGGCTGCCTAACCCACATAATCGCATTTTTCATGTAAAATGGACCATAAAACATGTATCACACGACACATTCATATTGTGACCTCCGGTGACCTGACCTGGCTGTGACCTGACCTGGTATCAGTGACCTCAGATAGCAAGGTATGTGTTTGACGAACAATGTACCATCGATGGTTTTCAATAAATTACCAATTTACTCGCTTTCACAGCACATTTCTTGAATTGCCTGTGAACGGTGAAAATCTGACCTTTGACCTGACCTGTGACGTCATCGGTTTGACCTAGGTCAATGAAATTTGGTCACAAGGTAGTTCCCGAGTGGGGCTATCGAACTCCGTTTGAATTTTGAAAATCGGCCGGTAACTTTCCGAGATCTTAGGGGGGGGGCCGAAACGGCCCCCCCCCCTACGGGTGGTAGGGTCCGCCGGTAGCCCTACGGGGCGCGGGTTAACGATGGCCATATTTCTACTCAGAAGGGCCCCATGGGGCTCGTCAGAGCACCTCATGGGCCCTAAATAGCCACACTAAGATCTCCATAAGGGTCCGACGCCGGCGTCTGAGGGCCTCTTGCGGCTTTTAAGGACACCTCGGTGATCTCCAAAGGCCCGTTACTGGCCTCTGAGAGGTCTTACCGGCCTATGAGGTGCCAGTTCTAGGGGCATTTCCCGCCTATGATGGTCCCACACTTAATTTTCTGAGGGCCCCATAACGGCAACTGTGGGGCCCTCGTCGGCGCCTATGAGGGCCGGTCTCTAAGGACCCCACAGGACTTCTTCTGCCGGCGTAAGGTCCCCTTGCCGGTCACTGAGACTCCCTGCCGGCTTGTAGAGAGTTCGCGTCAGCAGCACTAAAGGCCCCACACCCGTCTGTAACGGCCCCACACCAGCGTCTATGAGGATCCACAGCAACGCCTGTAACTTGTAAGGACCCTCATCGGCGCCTCTGAGAGAATCACACTAGCACCTCTGAGCGCCCACACCGGCACCTGCATGGCGGCCCCACACCAGTGCCTCTAAAGGCCCCTTACCGGCGGCTCTGAGGGCCCTACGCCGGTGATTCTGAGGGTGCTACCGATAACCGAAGGCACCACACAAGCCCTTAGTGTCGCTGAGCTTTAATCCCATACCGGCCCTCCGAGGGCGCCACGTCAGTGCACTCATTGCCCCACACCCCTCCATCACATCCGGAGCGGGTAAACTGTGTTATACGTATAATAGCAACGATTTTACCACCGTTGTACGTTATGTATACTATGTATTTCTCAAAGTTGACTCAAGCTGGTGCAGTATAAAATCTGGCCTGCCAAACTTATGGCCACGATCAGGCCCAAATCAAAGCGGGATGACAATAGTCAATAGCAGATGTTGTCAAATCGATACCTACTGTACCAGCAGAAACCATTCAGATGGCAAGGAAAATGCCATGTGTTGATGCGTAGATGTATGAAGGAAACAAGAAGGAAAAAGGTCCGGAAAAGGGAGGAAAGATCTTTTCTCGCTGCCTCAATGTTGAGGGGGCGCCGCCCCCTCGGCTCTCAAGTTGGGGGGGGGGGCAAGCGCCCCCGCTGCCCCCCCTGTTCCCGGGTCTATGCAACCAGTAGTTATGCTAGCTGCACCAGGCCACCACAGCACCAGGCCATAAACAGGTGCCCCCCGAGGCCCAACTGATGATCAATAACATGTGCGTGACTGGTCTTCGTTCCTACTGAAGTGTGCAGACAACATAACATAGGGGCCGTTTTTGGCACAAGCACATATGTAAGGCGTATGCAAATGTCACATTTGCAGTGGGGAGGACGTCATGCCAGTACATAATTGCATGCAGTATGAGCCGAAAACAGTGAAGCACTTTGGTTTGACAGTGTTCTTAGAGCAGAGTTTCGTTTTAATAAGTTCGAGAGTATCGTTTCCGATGCAAAAATCATTGTTATAGGCTATAGCATGTGTTGGGGGTGTTGCCATTTTCCTCAAAATCTGTGCGTGCTGTAGAAAGTTGTTTCACAAAACTTGCGAATGAAGACCAGCATGCGTTTATTGCACACATAAATGGATATACCTAATCATCTGTAAAAATTGTTGGCAATCGACTGTCCTCTCCCGTGCCTTTGCATCTTTATCTGTAATATGCTAGCGCAATTCATCAGCAAGGAAACCATAAGTAACTTCATTTTGTTAGCCGCATGCCGCAAGCAATGCTCACGATGAAATTTCCTCACTGGAACTACACATTGTAACTTCTGAAACATTTCATAAGTATTCTATGTATATAGACAGAGTGATTTAGTTACCAGAAACGCAGGCCGTGTTGTACGTAATCAAACATAAACTTGCATGCAAGTACTAGCATAGGAACTTTCTAAAACTCCAAACCAATACCCATCATTCATTAACCTAGAACACATTTCCGAAACACTGTTCACGAAACAGTTACACGCCTTTCTTAGTAGCAATTACCGCTATCGTGGCACATAACATCATGTGTATGCACGGTCGCTTATTACATGGCAATACCAGTAATTACACTTCATAATTTCATGGTGCCACGACAGAATAAGGAGAAATGCGACAATCATTATCCATTCGTTACAGCAATTAACGTCAATTACTCGTCCATATGTTTCCATAGAAGTTTAATCAGCGAAATTCGTTGTCGTACCGCGTGACAAGTGGACCAAGGCACCTTGTATGAGTGGCTTCGATACACGCGATTCGGTCACTGACGAACGGACGTTCTATAGTTAACCCGCGACCTGGTGGGGGGGGGGCTATTTTTTGCCCCCCCCTCCAGACTTTTCGATATATCTCCAGAACCGCTGCACCGATCGTCACCAAACTTTCAGTACCCTCCCGGACATCATTTTACACATTGTGACCAAAATTTTTTCCAAAGGCTATGATAGGTTGGCCTGAAATGACGTCAGAGTGACGTCATGTTCTGCCGTTTTCGACCCAAAAAAGGGTTTCGCGGGGAGAGCTGTCAGGCCTATAGCTTTGCAAATACAGAAAAATGATAAAGACATAAAAGCTGTAGAATCGACAGGGCTACAAAACTGTTATATCGGATTTTTGAATTTTTTGGATTTTGACCCCCAAAAATCAAAAAATATTTTTTTTTTTTATATAATAATCGAAAAATCCAAAAAGTTTTTTTGAATTTCGCAAAAAAACGGAATATATGTGATAGTCCTTACCGCCTTCCATCCACATACCAAATTTGAGATTGATACCTCTTTTTTTGGCGAAGTTATAGCGAAAAAACTGTTCAAAATTGATGACGTCAAATTTTCAAACTCAATTTTTAGCAATTCTAGACCCCGTAGCGCAAAAACAAAGACCACCATTAGACTCCCCGTGACGAGCTGCATCGAATCAATACCTATTTTATGCAAAACTATCAACTTTAAAATTTGACCTTTTATGGCCTGACCTTGACCTGACCTTGACCTGAACTTCACCAGAAAGTGACCTAAGCCGTACCTGATAGTCTTATAACCAACACCATTGAGTTGGAAATGAAAAATTGGCCATAAATCATGCATCACACAACCTTAGTAAAGTTGGGCTCATGTGACCTGACCTGTGACCCTTGGTGACCTGACCTGTGACCTGACCTGGTATTGTCAGTGAACTCTAATAGCAACATATCTACTAGGCAACTGACGCCCTATCGCTGATTCTCGACAAAATGCGTTTTCCTCGGTGTTATAGCGCATTCCCTAGAAGACCCGTGAACGGTGAAACATTTCATCTTTGACCTGACCTGTGACGTCATCGGTGACCCCGAGGTCAATGAAATTTGGTCTCCCTTGACAAATTTGATAGGCCTTTCGAACGCCGTTTGAATTTTGCAGATCCGTCCAGTAGTTTCGGAGATACGAGGGGGGGGGCAAAAAATAGCCCCCCCCCACCAGGTCGCGTTATAAACAGACCCCACCAGGGCGCGGGTTAAGTGTCATGCCGATAATAATTTCTGGATTTCAGATTGTCGCTAGCTCCACACTAGCCTAAACATGTTACATGTCTTTCCTGTGTTAAAGGGACCCTCCTACCTTCAAAAAAGTTAATGAATTGGCATGAAAGTGATGTCGCTCGGTTCAGAAAGAGCAAAAACGAATATCTACCAAATTTCATCGAAAAATATTCACCGGTTTTCAAGATATTAGACTTTTACTTTTGTTTACTTTTTGGGATCTCCGCTGTTCCTAGCGACTTTATTTGAAAGTGCGGCATTTGTTGCGCGCAAAGCAGCATATACCACCGCGTGCTACAAAACGTTTTAGTCAAACATTTAGCGGACGTTCGAAAGCCTGATGACGTCATCAGATTCCCGTAATGGTTAAGAGATAGGGACCACGCTGGTCCCACCCTGCAAGTAAAGGGAAGAAATTTCTTGAACACCATAAAGCTGCGGGGGTTGCGACCAGGATAAATGGTGGTTTCTGAGCCTGGCCGCAAACTTGGCTATCTCAACTCAAAACTAATGTTAACACGCGCACTGCAGGGGGGGGGGGGTTGTTTTCAACCCCCCCTGTGGTTTTTCTCAAATTGCGAGAAAACGGCGGCGCGTAGCGCCGCCAAATTTTGCATACCTGTTCTCACAACTTTTGCACACCTTGAGTAAAAAATTTGACCCCAGGTGACCTATGGTCAGGTCACCAGGTCAGGTCAAGTGACCCTACCTCGAAACGTAAATTTCGAAGTTTGCAATCCCACCAAGCCCACAGTTGTTGAGATATGATCTTGAAACCCACAGGAAATAGTAAAGTCATCACGAGCTACAACTTGTATATCTCGGAATTTTTATATCGATGACCTAAGGTCAGGTCATTTTTGCGACCGGCCCATTATAAGTCAATGGGAGAAATTTCAACTTACTCTGAATGCCATCCTATGACTTCAATACGCTCAGGATCATAGTATTACAGGTCCCTGTTGGTGATTTCACCGAAACATATCACTTATGACCTTTGGAAGGTGATCTCCAGGTCATCTTAGGTCACCTGAGGTCACCAGCGGTTTTTCTTCAATAACTTGAGATTGAGTAGAGATAGAGACTCCGTTCGACGTTTATCGTGTTTTTCTCGTCAATGCGGATCGAATGATATGCAACATGACCTATTTCGGTCAGGTCATGACCTTGACCTGAGGTCAAATTTTCAACTTGACCTTTCGAGGTCATATTATATATCATTCGATGCGCCTTGACGAGCTAAGAACGATGGCGTTCGAATCGATCCTCTGTCTTGTGTGCAAGACAAGTTATTCAAGAAAAACTACCGCGAAATTCCTGTTGTGAATATCGTAACATTTTGTCTTCGGTGACCTCTGGTGACCTCGTTTTTGACCTGACCCAAAAATGATCTTTGTATTTCTTGTCGATCTCATCTTAACCTATCCAACGCCGTTTACCGCTTGTCGCTACGTTGCGCCGTTTTCGAGATCTCAGGGGGGGTTGTTTTCAACCCCCCCCCCCTGCAGTTCGTGTTCGGCTCAGACCCGCTGCAGTGCGCGTGTTAAGGTGGGAGGGTCCCTTTAATCATGTTCTGGCGTCCGTTCTTATGTCGGAAAAAGTCGTCAGCCAGCCCGCAAAAACTTGTTTTATCAAATTACCGAGGACGGACGAAAACCCAAAAATAAGCAGTGTTGGTAGCAACCACCGTAATTGAGGATTGAATAACAAACTGCCAAAACATCTTTGAAATACCAAACACCAAAAGGCATCGGCATCGCCATCCTTATTTGGTAGAAAATAGTTATTTTCAAGACGGTTACTTGACCAACATTTGGTTCACATTTGGTGCTGTTTGGTTAAATTAGGAATTCATGCTTGATTCTTAGCAGTCTTTTAGCTACGGTTGCATTAGTTGCTTATTTGCCTGATTTATCAAATCATCAAACATGATTCTCGATTATGATATTGAACAAGATCCATAATATAAACCTATACCCAATGCATTCTGTGCACTATCTGGTAAGATTGAGAGTTGACGCACACTTAGTCATGTTTGGTGCATTTGCCAGATGACCTGTCGTGAAGACGACTAATATTTGCAATGGTTTTTTCACAGGTACGCCAGGTAGTCTGGACTCTGGTTTCTCTGTTATTTCTCGGATTACTCATCTGGCAAGTCACGACAACTCTGCTGTCGTTTCTCACATTTCCGAAAGCCACAAGTGTTGAGGTGAGTTGGTGAGTGAAATGGTGAGTAAGTGAGTGAGTTGTTATGAGTTGGTGGAGTGAGTTCAGTGAGTTTGTGTTGAGGTGAGTTGATGAAGTGAGCTAGTTGTTGAGGTGTGTTGGTGAGTTAGCTGGTGAGTTGATCAGTCGATTAGGTGTCGAGCTGACAAGTTTCATTTGATAAACGATTAGATGAAAGATAAGAAGCTAGCCTCTGTGTCAACTTATTGTGTCTGATAGGTAGGACATGACTACAATTAGGTATCGTTTTTGAACAAAAACACATGGACCGCAGCATAGCATATGAAGCATGAACTTCCAAACAGTATTGTAATTTAGAGTGTTTTGCGGCTTTCATTAACACATTGTCAAATGTCAATAGATGTCTCCTGCAACATGTGTATAATAAAGCAAAATTTCAAACAATTTCTAATTACAAATAAGAATGCGTGCAACAAAAATATCTACAATATGAGGGATTAATGCACAAATACAATAAGAAAACATAATTGCTATTTAAATACAATGCAATAAATATTAATTTACACAGCCCAAACAACTCCGACTTACATTAGTTCCGTTTTTCGCCGCCAGGTGGTGGACCAGACTCGGGTCCATTTCCCGGCTGTGACCATTTGTAGCCTCAACCCCCTGGTCAGAAGCCGAGCCATGAACACACGGTGGAAATCAGCGGCAGAAATGGAGCCGTTCTACTCAGGTAGGCGCCACTGGAAAAAGTAGAAAGGTGAGATAGAATGCTCATAAACACACGGTGGAGGTCAGTGGCAGAGGTAGAGCCGTTCTACTCAGGTAGGTGCTACTGGAGGAGGTAGAAGGGTGAGGTAGAATGCTCATGAATACACGGTGGAAATCAGCGGCAAAAATGGAGCTTTTCTACTCAGGTAGGAGTCACGGGAAGAGGTAGAAAGGTGAGGTAGAATGCTCAAAGAGAAGACTGAGGTAGAACGGTGTGGTGGAGAGATCAAATTCCGGTCCCGTAGCTCAGTTGGTAGAGCGTTGGACTCCGCGTGGTGAGAGCACGCGTTCCCGGTTATAACAGTCCGGGTTCGAAGCGCGACGGGCGCTTGACATTTATGGGCCTCCTGACAGGTATGGTTGCGGTTGGTGGCAGGCCGTAGCCAGGCGAAGTCAGTGAGGGGACCGGCCGTGCGCGGCTATGTGCGCACGTTAAACTTTGGACTCTAAATTCTGCCATAGAACCGGAATTGCGCGATCGGAGGGTAGAGGGCAGGGTCACCGCAACAAGCTTCGCTTAGCGGTGGCTCTGTCCTTGTGAATCCTTCCTATCAAAAGGTTCGGACTAAATTTATAAAAAATTGAATCAAGGGGTACCTACATTAGCACAGACTGATTAAAAGAATGAGACATAATGTTGAGCTAGAACTGCTGAGTTTGAAAGTACTCATGTTGCTGTAAATTTTGCTGGTGTATTATGCTGGTAAAATTATGATGGTGAAAGTGTACCTTTTATACAAGCATAAATTGCGCTCACTGAAATATATTCTCTTTCAGCTCCAGCTGAAGCTCCAACGACGCAGCAAACGTAAGCAATCGACACAATGAATGTACTCGTGATCCCATAGGCCATTCAAGTTTTTAATGATCAATTCATTACGGCATCGTTATTTTGACGTCACGTACTTACGATTTATTGATGTTTATTTATTTCTTGCATCATAAAAATATATCTCTAGGCATAACCTTATTGACACACTATTTTGATGGTCATTGAAGCTTCAATAGATTTTAACACGTGACTTCAGTCATTTCATCATCATACAATACCAGCGTATGACGTCATACACGCCCTTTCAGTTCCATCCGTCGAAAAAGAGCGGCTGAGTCCACCACTACTGCCGCCTCTACCGAGTTCACCACTACCGCTGCTTCTACCGAAACCAGTTTCTACTCGGATATGTATGACTCGTACTCTACCATGGACGGTTCTACCACAACCGGTGGATACGCTACGTCGTGGTACAGCACGGACGGCAGCGGTTCTACCAGTGACGGTTTCAGTGGAAGCACAGAAGGCAGTGGATATACGGATGGGTATGGTAGTGGATCCACAGATGCTTATAGTGCAAGCACAGATGGAGTGAGCGGATGGGTTGAAGGCAGTGGAGAAGTCACAACAGAATCAGGAACAACATTCTCTTCAGATCAAAGCACAACAATAACGACTACCGAAGCGGCGACCGAAACGACCTCAACTGAAACAACAACTATTGTACAACCAACCACCGTCACAACAACAACCGAAACAACAACGGAAGCCACAACAATCCAAGCTACAACGACCCAACCGAGAACTACTACACAGACTACTACGACTACTACGACCACTACGACTACGACGGCGGTCTACACCTCTACCGTGGCCTATTCTTCACCGGACTATAACGCTACAAGTGAGGCTACGTCTACGTCATTTGGGACTATGCTGGGGACTGAGGAGACTAGCTTCATTACTGGGATTGATGATACTACAGCCGGTGGTTTTGCAACGGGGGATGCCACAGCAAACTCATTAACAACTGACAATAGGATTTCCAATGGATGGACAAGTGACACAGCTCCATCTGCATCATATACAAGTTATATTACTTCATACAAGCCACTTACAAATGAACCTACTAGTTCCAACACATTTACAAGCGACACTTCAACATCCAATGGCTTGACAACAGAAGCATTTACATCCAAGACCTTTACAACTGACGATACAACATCCAACTCATACACAGCTGATACTAGCATTTTCAACTCATATGCAACTGAAACCACTACTTCAAACTCATTCGACTGACACTTCTACATTAAACTCATTTACAGCTGAAGACACAACATCGAACTCTTTTACGACTGACGCTACTACTTCAAACATTTTTACAGCTGACACCAGCAGAAACAGGGAGCTAACGACTGACGGTGGTATGTTCAATTCTGCCTCAACTACTGACTCCGTTCTTTTTTTATACCACTGATACCACTGATACAGCCGTTAGTCTTCACACAACTCACTCATTTAGCACAGTGGACACTGGTGGCGCAGCACGCACTAGCACAATGGCGGGCACATTGGAAAACTTGACCACTGAAGGTAGCACATTTATGTCGACAGCCAGCAGCGACATCACAACAGTTGAAACAACATTTAGTAACATCCGAACAGATGAAGCAACATCCCTGAGTGCATTCAGTGATGTGCCAACAACTGAGACCACAACATTAAGTGACATCCCAACAGTCCAAACAATAACATTCAGTAACGTGCCAACAACTGAAACAACAACATTTAGTGACATCCCAATAGCTCAAACAACAATATTCAGTGACGTGCCAACAACCGGAACAACAACATTTAGTGACATCCCATCAGCTGAAGCAGCAACATTCAGTGATGTTCCAACGGCTGAAACAACAACATTTAGTGACATCCGAACAGATGAAACAGCAACATTCAGTGACGTTCCAACAGCTGAAGGAACAGCATTCAGTGACGTGCCAACAGCTGAAACAACATTTAGCGACATCCCATCAGCTGAAACAACATTCAGTGACATCCCAACAGCTGAAACAACAACATTTAGTGATATTCCAACAACTGCAACAACAACCTTTAGTGACATCCCAACAGCTAAAAGAACAACATTCAGTGACATGCCAACAACTGAAATAACAACATTCGGTGATGCTCCAACCTCTGAAACAGCAACCTTTAGTGCCGGTCCAACAACTGAAACAACAGCATTTAGTGACATCCCAACAGCTGAACCAACAACATTTAATGACATTCTAACAGCTGAAACAACAACATACAGTGACGTCCCAACAACTGAAAAAAACAACATTCAGTGACGTTCCAACAACTGAAACAACAACTTTCAGTGACGTTCCAACAACTGATACAACATTCAGCGATATTCCAACAGCTGAAGCAACAGGGTTTAGTGATCAAGTGTCATCAACTGAAACAACGTCATTCATTGACATCTCAACAAATGAAACAACAACAGAAGTTAACAATATTCCAAAAGCTTAAACAACAACATTTAGTGACATGTCAACAGCATTTAGTGACATCACAACAACTGAAGGAACAACATTTAGTGACATATCAACAGCTGAAACAGCAAAATTAAATTTTATTCCAACAACCGAGACTCCATTTAGTGCCATCTCAACAACAGAAGCAATAACATTTAGTGACATCCCAACAACTGAAACATCAAGATTGAGTGATATTCCAACAAATGAGACAACACTAGTTAGTGACATGTCAACAACTAAAACAACAACAACTAATGACATATCAACAACTGAAACAACAACACTAAGTGACATTCCAACAACTGAATTAACAGTAATTAGTGACATTTCATCAACGGAAGACATCACAGCCGATGAGAGAGGTAAGATAACAATGTGCACCGATTTAATTTAGAGAAGCGCTGATTATGTTGTAGTAATCTAAGTCAATTTTGAAGTAGCAGCTATCGTTAATGAATTTAAACAGCATAAAACACGCTTAACTGCCGAAGTATTTACCTGGTGACGTCAAGTCTGGATAAAATTCCCAGTAGCTACGTTTTACGAGATTATAATTCTCTGTCCCCATGAAACGCCGCCTTTGTGTTTTTAACAAAGTGACGTCACAAGCTGCTATATCTCGATCACAAGCATTTAACGAGTTGATGTTCTTAACACACTAAAAAAATGTTTTTAAAACAAACTATCTGAAAACTCCACTTTATTTCTATTTCTATTTTAAAACTATCTAATGATGACATAAGATGCCGACACTTTCACCCAATGGCATCTCCAATTGATCAATTTTTAACTAATGCACTTCACAAGATGCTGTATTTTTAATCAAATGACGTCACGGTTTTCAGCTTCCTCCTACAACTGGACCAGTCAGTGGGATTATGATCCATCGTACAAGACTGATTTGGAGGATAATCTACAGGAACGTGAGTATACGAGCTGAGACGAGAGTTAGACGAGTGAGTTAAAAAGTGAACAGGTGCGTGAGTTAGACGAGTGACTAGTGAGCTCGACGAGGGAGCTAGACGAGTCGGTTAGACGTGTTTAGTTTGTTTTAAATAAGTTAATTTATTTCATCGTCTACGGGGAGCCACATTTATGACAAAGTCCTTTTATTGGGATACAAAGAATGTAGAATACGAATTGATCGTTACTTAGACGGGTGACAATCGTGGGCTATACGGGAGTTACCCTGGAGTTTGACGCGTGACGGGAGCTTGACGGGAGGTAGGCTTGATTTTTATGTGAAGACCGTATGAATAGAATGAAATAGGATATAATATCCGAGAAGATCTACGAGTTAAAAGTGATAAAATATTATAGAGTGAGACGCATCTACCAAACAAAGAAAATATTCACCGCTATTGTCTACCCACACTTTCTGTAGTGATATTCCTACTGTATTTTTTATTTTATCTCCAGAGTTCTACCAGGCCGACATAGAGAACTTCACCACCGTGCTCCAGGCCATGAAAACTGTTGACGGAAGTGAGATAGCGGACGTTTTCACCCCATCACGAGACGAGATTCTTCAGGCGGGTGTTCGACCTGAGGAATTCATTACTTCGTGTAGTTTCGATGGGGAGGCGTGTGATTACACGTAAGATATGGGAAGGAAGCGGGTTTCTAGGTTATTTGCAAGAATCAGAGATGTGATTGCACGGAGTGAGTGAGTGAATGAGTGAGTGAGTGAGTGAGTGAGTGAGTGAGTGAGTGAGTGAGTGAGTGAGTGAGTGAGTGAGTGAGTTAGTTAGTGAGAGAGTGAGTGAGTGAGTGAGTGGGTGAGTGAGTGAGTGAGTGGGTGGGTGATTGAATGACTGAGTGAAGAAGGGAGAAAGGTAGGGAGAAAATTCATTCATTCATTCATTCATTCATTCATTCATTAATTCATTCATTCATTCATTCATTCATCCATTCATTCATTCATTCATTCATTCAATCAATCAATCAATCAATCATTCATTCATTCTCATTATCCACAGCAGGAACTCACCATCAGCCACGGTTAACCACGGTTCCTCCGTTTCAGGGATTTCCACCAATGGCAGAACGGTGTTTACGGGAACTGTTTTACATTCAATTCCGTGTTTTACAACGCTTCTGAAGACTTTGTGGACTTATCCGGGAGAGAGCGGATGAAGCACGTGAAAGTTACCACACACTACGGAGCCAGGGTAATTCTACTACACGAAAACACTACAGTTACAGGAATGAAACTGTTGTGAAAACCACCACATACTACGGAGCCAGGGTAAATCTACTTCGAGAAAACACTACAGAAACACGAGAGGGGATGAAACTATAGTGATAAGTGAAAACCACACACTACGGAGCCAGGATAAATCTACTGCGCAACACCCACAACAGAACCAGGATTGAAACACGTGAAAACCACCACACAATGCGAAATCAGGATATATTAACTGCCTAAAAACCACTGCACAGTGCACACTGTAGAAGTGTAGAGCTCGGGTAAAACTATCACACAAAAAGCACTACGTAGCCAATAGCCATCGATGTCTAATGCACACGTTCAGCTACATAGTAGGCAGTAGGCACATAATCAATAAAAATGCCGTCCTCTTTTGCTCTTAATTTAGTGTTTGTATTTCGTACCAATACATTACACAGTATGAAAATTATGCAGTGCAGTGTGCACAGTCTATACCGACCACAATCTAACAGCGTTTTTCCCCACAGTACGGCCTGCGTCTAATGCTCAGCCCAGATCTCGAGGAATACATCCCAGCAGTAACTCCCGGCCACGGAGTGCGAGTCTCGATACATCATCCTCGTACAGTGCCGTTCCCAGAAGATACTGGACTGAATGTACCCATCAACTCGAGGACGTCAATACGAGTTACTATGGTGAGTTGAGGGGTTTTGATGAGGTGGGGTTACTTATTGGGCTTTGGTGGGATGTTGTGAATTGAAGAGGTTTGGTGTTTTGTAGTGAGTTAGGGAGCTAATAAGTGTTTTGCTTTTGCTTGATAAGTATGGTGCTTTGTGATGATCTGGTGATTGTTGAAGTGTTGATCTTCCCCATACCTATATGTTTACAATTATTGTGTCATTTTTTATTCTTTACTACAATATCACTACTTTTACCTTTTCCCCATACCTAATAAGAAGTTGTAATTCGATGTACGTTTTTTCGGCTACTAGTCGTTTATTGTTTTCGTTTCGAATTTTCGACCTTCGCATCGAGGCTGTCGTCAAGAAACCTAATAAGAAAGAATAAACGACTAAATAGTAGCCTAAAAAACGTACATCGAATTACAATGTCTAGTCGTAAAAGCTTGAAATCATACATTAAGGAGTTGTACTTTGAATATCGTTCTTATTCTAAAAGGCTGACGCGGCTTCGTTGGCTGTCTCTGTTTCTGCAGAACGATATAGCGCGTGTAAAGGAGCCACACGGAAACTGCACTTCGGATGACGAGTGGAACAAACACTACGTGGGAGCCTATACGTCAGAGGTGAGACAATGAGGAATGGCACAGGAGAGAGAGAGAGAGAGAGAGAGAGAGAGAGAGAGAGAGAGAGAGAGAGAGAGAGAGAGAGAGAGAGAGAGAGAGAGAGAGAGAGAGAGAGAGAAGAGAGAGAGAGAGAGAGAGAGAGGGAGAGAGAGAGAGAGAGAGAGAGAGAGAGAGAGAGAGAGAGAGAGAGAGAGAGAGAGAGAGAGAGAGAGAGAGAGAGAGAGAGAGAGAGAGAGAGAGAGAGAGAGAGATGTGGAACAGACAGTTTCTAGAATCATGACGCCGAAAGAGAATGACGTGAAGACGAGAGGACGCTAGCAGAAAGGAAAAACAACAGATAAGAGTTACAGTACTCTAAGTTGTGTTGGACAAACGACATAAAAACATTTAACTGCCAAATGAATATTTGTTCATAATCAATGATGCTGACTATAGCTATACGATCATTTGCTTATATTTTATACAGCTGCGTTACCGTCTGTCTTTTGAAGCGAATCAGGGAGCGTTGTCACTGTATTTTGCTGCATATTGGCCGTTTTCACGACGGAATAGCAGGCATCTATTTGATACCAATATAATCCTTTGGTTCCTCAGGAATTTTAGTAGTTCTTTTTAGTAGGTTTACCAGCTTTCGAATGAATGGCGCGTTAGTTTGCTATTTTTCTATTAAATATCACATCGATTTACTTTATCTAAGGATTTATCACTAACATCAACATAAAGCGTAAGCACAATTATAAAATTATGAAATTATTAAATACTAGTACAATAGTTAAAAAAAAGATACTGAGTTGCCACACTACAAAAGATATATTCATTTATGGCGCACGACAGACATTTAGAAAGCAGCGCCCTGTTTTATTGCACGCTGCTAGCCGCTTCCATTGGGTTTTGCAGGCCGACGTTATTGGTTGTTACACGTATGATGTCACGCGACTTGTGGCCTATCACGGCTCTTTAATGATCTCCACTAAATGAATGCAACAATGGCCTTTTAAGTTGATATCTGTGGCCATCTGTCTATGGAGCGACCAATATGAAAGTTAGATGAATTTACCGGGGTTACATGACTATGAGCAAGCAACTGTGTATCAGGAATGGATTCAGGTGGAGAATTGCGCTGGACCATGAGTGCTCGAGCGCTCCCAATTCCACGCCGGTTTGGCTTTGGAGCCGAGACAGACGATGCGGGTCAAGGTCACCGCTGGGGTAACGCTGGATTGGCTGCGCCCGAGCACCCGTAACGCGGCACAATTCTCCATCTATAGATTTTCCTATTCGCTCAGCATTGTGATACCTAGGTGTTCGTAATAGCAATTACTCTGCTTATGTACTTATCCCCGGTTATTTAAAAGAAGTTTTTGTGAGGGGATATCACGGCTATAGGTAGGTACTCAGTTGCCCTATTCACGACTTTCAAAGAATGCTCCGATATCTAAATACCGCACAGACCTACTGCATTGGTGAATCTGACAAAAGGTCTGTGGAATTACATTCCCCCTCACCACACCCCTAAAAACTCATCCAGTGTCCAAAACCACTTTTATCGACTCGCCAAAAAAAAAAAACAAAAAAAAAAAAAAAACACACACACACACACAAAGCATGGGGCATGTCAGCTCTCAGTTCATTTATCATTGTCTTTACCATGGTTCAATTGCATTGCGCGATTTAAAGCACGTGAGTGCCTATATAGTATATATGTAGAGAATAATATCTACAGCAAAACATCCAAAATTACAAAGGCTACAATGCTTAAAAAGTAGGTTCATCAAGGAAGCCCATTTTTACTTGCGTTGTGTTCCCAACCATGCGATTCCAACGCGGGCTATTCGCAACGTCTGTTAACCCGCGCGGGGCTGGGGTCTCCAGCCGAACGCGCGGGGCTGGGGGGGGTAAATTTTACCCCCCCTGTTATCTCCCGAACTAATGGTCCGATTTAGAAAATTCAAACGCCAATCGAAAGCTCTCATCACGAACTACTAAAAACATGTACTTAATTTAAAGTTTGAGGTCAAGGTCAAGGTCAGGTCAAGGGTACAAATTGCAAGTTTCTACAGTATCGGCCTTGCACCGTAGTTGCCGAAGAATGGAGTCATGGACTGAGACTGATCGCCCAAAACGTGTTCTTAGGCTACCAAGACAATATTCGTTGCATACAATATCATTCAGAGGTCAAGGTCAAGGTCAGGTCAGGTCAGGTCAGGCCACCAAAAAACAAAATATAGAAAAGGGCATGTGCGACACATGTTTTATGGGTCATTTTACTCATAGAATTCAATAGGCACACTCAATAAGTGATATGGACCACCTCTGGATGAATTTCAGGTCGAGGTCAGGTCAAGGTCAGGTCAAGTGAGGTCAAATTTTGAAGTTGGTTGTTAAGGCCTAAAAAGGTGTCTATCTGATGCAGTTTTTCACGGCGAATCGAATGGCGCTATTTTTGTTTCCGTACGAGGTCTAGAACTTCCAAAAAAGTCATTTTTTCAAAAATTTTGTGTGTCGTGACGTCATAAAATTTTGAATACCTCCCACATTTTTGAACGGATTCTTCTAAAATTTGGTATGTAGGTGCACATAGACCACTTCTCTGACATATATTCCGGTTTTTTCGATAGACTCAAAATTTTGGATTTTATAATGATTTTCCCAAAAAATTCAGTTTTTTGAAAAAATTTAGGCCAAAATTCAAAATTTTCAAAAAACCGAGATAGCCATTTGATAGACAAAGTAAAATTACGTATAACCTTTTTTGTTACGTCTTGATTCCTTTAAAAATGAAGATGTTAGCGGCGTTTGAACTTTTGCCGTTTTTGAGGCGAAAATGGCGAACATGACGTCACTAAAACGTCAATTTCTCAAAAATTTTCCGACGGATTTCGCTCAAATTTTCAGGGAACGTGTCAAATTGATGTAAGAAAAGGTACTGAAAGTTTGGCGGCGCTGCGCGCCGCCGTTTTTGAGATATCGCAAAAATTCGCGAGGGGGGGTAAAATTTACCCCCCCCCCAGCCCCGCGCGGGTTAAGGCACGTTAACAACTGACAAGCCGCCACCGCTGCCACTTATTCATAGATGGTTGATATCGCAGCTTGGGCGTCAGCAGCGGGGCCCACAACGCGTCGGCGCCAGCGCACGCAGCTGTTGGCACTCGGCAGCCGGTGTTGCGACTTAACGGCCGGCCGGCCCCATGAAGGAGAAGCTCTTGGTGAAGCTTTGTGATCGCCTCATAGCCGCCTTGGATGTCATCTTTCTTGGCAGATCCATCCGTTCAGATGGTACGGTGCAGTCTGGATAAAGGACGAAGTCCAACGCCGCTAACCCCGCGACCGCCACCCCACAACGTGGCCGCAGGCCGAACGGGTGTGAGGGCCGTAAGGGCCACCCCGCCATCCGGTAGGTGGCTGAGCAGCCGGGCGCAGCGGCGACTGGGCGGCGGCCGCGCTGAGATGAAGTCCCAAACCGCCATGTCGCCATCACCGCCATCACCATTGCTGCAGCTGTTCCCAACCGCCTCAATCGCCGCCGTTTTGCCAGCAGTCGCGCCGCGGAATGGCAGAAGCTCCAGAGTAGCCTCCAGCGCCCCTCTCCGCACGTGTGCAGGTGCACCAAGGCCCTATATACCAGGTAGGGTCGTCCGGCGATTCTACCTGATCGTGACGTCAGCTTGTGACGTCATCTGGGGGCAAGTCTTGAAGCCCCGTTTGGGTCCCATGTAAATGGGCGATTTTTGAAGCGCTGTAGAACAAACTCTGTTGGAGCTAGCACAAAACTAAGTGCATCATCGGAAAGACGAGACATTTTTATTTGAATTATCTAAGAGCAGTTTTTCACTAAGCCCATTAGTTTTTCCGAAAATGCGTAGAAAAGCCCCCATGCCTCCGCAGCCTCCCTTCCGCCGGCCGCTGCGCCGCCGCGGTAGTGTAGTGGTTAGGATGCTTGCACCGTGATCCAAAGGTCGTGCGCTCGAATCTAGGCGCGGGTCGGACTCAAATCGAAGTTGGAAGCAGAATATGTGTCTTTTCTTTAAAAATCACTTATATTACAGCTTACCGTTCATAAAACTATCGATAACAATTGACTGAAAGCCAAATTATAGATTACATTCTTATAAAACAAATTCAAATATGGCGGCCGTTGCGCTAGGCCCCGCCCCCGACTCCGCCCCTTCGTGTGACGTCATCTGTGCACTTGGACACACAGGGAGATAGGGGACGACATGGGCCTGAGGTGCACTGCGGCCGCCGGGTCCGACGTCCAGGCAGAACATGATATTTCCATGCTGCTCCGACGGTGGGCTGGTCTTGTTTGGGCGTTCCTCCACTGTGACGTCGGTCACGCCTGCCCCGGCCAGGGCGCAGAGGCCGACGTGTCACCATCCGGTTGCAGTCCTCAGTCGGGTCGCAACGTGTACCTCTTCCGCAGCGTGGAGCGCGCTCCCGCTGGGCAGCGATACAGCCAAAAGTAGCATAGCATGCGGGCGGCCAGCGCTGCGCCGGACAGCGGACCCATGCCGGGGGTATGCCGGTCTCGGCCATTAGCGGGGTCGTCGGGGCCGAGGCTGTACAGTCTGTCTTAAAAGTACCGCGCAAAGTGACGGTGGATCCATCAAGCCTGATCGAGGAAGGGCCTGCTATAATTTGAAAGTCACCGAACCAATTGACCTGGGGAATGGACGAGGATGTCAATTGCTTCGGTGACTCAAATTTAGCAGTCCTTCATCGGTCAGGCTTGATGGATCCACCGTCACTTTGCGCGGTACTTTTAAGACAGACTGTACATACAGCTGGTGACCGCGTGAGCCGCCAATCGAAGCTCACGGCTTATAAGCTCGACGCGGGCATCACACGCCGTCCTGATGGGAGCTCCACGACGCCGCCGCGAACTCCAGCGCGGCTCGCAGCGCGAAGACCAGTACGGACGGCCGGGGCAAACGGCGTGCGGGAGTCGCAGGCGACGTTCTGCGGACAGAAAGGGTTGGGCATAAGCTGGTCGGCAGGACACTCTTGAGCCGAGCCTTTGATGTAATTACAGATGATCCAGAAGCATGCACAAAAATTCATGACACACTATTCTCATTTATGCATTTGCTACATATGATATGATATACCAGCTCATGCTCAGTGACGCATTCTGGGCAATATGTTCTAAAGTGAAGTAACTGAAGTTACAGCTTAAAAGCTTAAAAAACAGCTTAAAAAAACACACACACACATTCGATAGCTTATGAGAATAGCATGCCTTGTGTGCTTAATGCAGGAAAATATTTTTTTTTTCACTTTTTTAGAAACAGCAAAAGAGTTGTCAACAAGCCATGTCAACTATCTAAACAATTTTTATGGAAACTGCTCTAGCTAGCTCAAAGTTCCACAACGTTTCCGGAGCACCGTACCCAAACTCAGTTCATGTTACAAGAAAAAACAGTAATAATGCCTCCTAATTTTGAATGAAATATAGGTATGAGTAATTTGATTTGGAAAGCAACAAATTTCCGCACATCATTTTAGCAAAATTACTATTTTCTTCAGCCATCAGGTTACACAAAACTATAGTAAACTTTATGATCTAGTTTACACAAAACCAAATTTTAACAAATGTAGATAAAATTTAAACAATTTTAAAAAATGTATCGTGGAGAAAATGAAAAGTGTAGATTTGTAAAGCCGGGATATTTCAATTTCACGGATTAGGCACTTTAAGAAATATCTTCACCTTTCTTTGAGCCACCAGCCTTCACCCAAGTTTTACACGAATGTAGTGAAGCAGACAATGTGGCAACTCAAAATTGTGATGGTTTGAGATAATTATGACGGTAAAAGAAAAAGCAACACAAGGTTCCTTACCCTCGTTTTTTTCACATGGGTTCAGATGAGGCTTCAACTGTTGCCGACCTGAGGAGCTATAGGGACTTGAGCTTTCCAAAACTCAATTTCTAAGGGCACTGAGCAGTGTTTGGCTTTCACACGAATGCGATAGTAAGTTATATGAAGTTGACAAAGCAAGCAAAGCAAAGCATGATGCCCCGCGCGTCCGCCCGCGACCACGCCCCGCGTCCGACTCCCGACCGCCGCGTGACCCGAGGCGCCCGGCGGTCACGTGACCTACCGGCCGGGACTGCAAACGGCCCTCACCACCATTCTTGTATGACGTCATATCCTACTGAGGTGCTGATTGGTCGGAATTAGATACCTGAAGGTAATTATCTGCCGTAGTTATTTTTGTTTCATTGTTTTGCGTGTTTTCTTATATGAAATGTAATTAAAAAATTTGTCATATTTTAATCACCATTAAAACATAACTGAATAGGTATAAAAGAGAACTCGATATATACTTTCCTTGTTTTTAAGAATTCCGGAATTAGATACCCGAGGGAGCAAAGAGGGAGCAAGTTGCCACGCTGATTTAATACCTCATAGTCGAAAGGTGGGCTACTAGAACCAAAAATTGCTGTGTTTGTAAATAAATAAGTGATTTGAGGGCAAAAAATGCCCGGATTTAAACTTCTAAAATTATTTTGAACATAAAATATTTCAGTTTGAGGGATGTTAAGGCCTCTAAGGGTAGGTACTTTTTAGGTATCAAATAAGTTCCTCTGCGAAAGTTCAGTCGTGAAAACGGCCATTGTGTAATTATTTGTATAATATGTATACTTCGTATAATCTGTATTTATAGCCTGTAAAATATACATATTTGTATATTTTACAGGGCTGTGTTAACGTTTGCAAGGAGGCGAATCAGGGAGCGTTGATACTGTATTTTTCTGCATATTGTATAATTGTGTGTTCCTATTTTACAGGGCTGCGTTAACGTTTGCCTTGAGAAGCGGATCAGAGACCGGTGTCACTGTATTCGGATGTTGAACACCATACTTACCAACGGCGATGACGACGATATGGTCCGGTGTAACCCCACCAATAGCACACAAGGTGAGATACGATTTACGGAGATGGTAGTACAGTGACAAGGAAAGTATGAGCTTCATGAACCAGTAACGAGGAAAAAATGAGCTAAATGAGAACTACACACAGGTCGAGCGCAATGCGCTGTAACTCAAAGCCGTTCAAAAGCATTGCTTTTTCAAAGGCTGATCAGACGTGTTTTCGATGGTAAATTTTGGATGATAACATTTAATTTTATTATCATTGCCACCGCTCCCTAGCCAGCTGGGGGCGTCAGAACATAACTTTAACCGGTACCACTTATTTGAGGGTACCTTTTTACCAGCAGTTGTGTGTATGATAACATGATTCTTCCCCCACAGACCAGTGCGTTGCGGTGGTCCGCGTCAACTTTCTACAGAACAAGGAGCCCTGTGTCTGCTTCAATCCGTGCTTGTGAGTTACTCTGCGGTGTGCGCGAATCTGTCCGTCGACTTTTTTTTTACTCAAGAATTCGTCTAAAATCATTGAATTTAGTCAATCTTTATTATCTAAAGCTACTTGTGGGCGTAGATATTGCTTCTCATCTACCGGGAATTTCGTTCACAGTGTAACATAATTCTAAGAAATGCTGTATAAAAAAACGCCGTACCTTGCTACGGGTGAAACTGCATAAAATTCTACGGAACTCGGCATCATGTTCTAGAGAAATACTGCACAAACCTCCGATCCACTTAAAGCGACCCTCCCACCTTCAAAAAAGTTAATGAATTGGCATAAAAGTGATGTTCCTTGGTTCGGAAAGATAAAAAATGAATATCTACCAAATTTCACCGAAAAATATTCACTGGTTTTCAAGATATTGGGCTTTTACTTTTGTTTACTTCTGGGATCTCTGCTGTTCCTAGAGACTTATTTGGAAGCAATAATTTGGCAGCCTCGAAGTGCGGCAGACGTTGCGCGTAAAGCAGTCTATACCACCATGTGTTAACGATGGTTCTAGTCCAAGATTTAAAAATCGTTAGATCTCCGCTGGGCGCTGACGTCACAAATTCTAAGGGGGCATTCCAATGCATTAGCCCCTTAGAATTCGAAAACTGCAAGTTTGAAATTCAATATCTCCGAATTAAAGCATTTTTCGATGTTGTGAGTGCCCAAAACGGTAGTTGCAGGTCATGGCCACCAATTTGGCTATCTCAACTCAAAACTAATGTTAAGGTGGGATGGTCACTTTAAGAGAACAACTGTAGAAAATCCCGTTGTGTGTTTCAGGGAGCGTCGTTACGACACATCGCTGTCTTTTAATGGCGACAACCACAACTTTTCGGACATTCTGGCTCCTCTGAAAGAAGTGCTGTGAGTAATTCACTACGTTTCCATGACACGTCTAAATCGATTTAGCGAAATTTCACGTGCGTTTTTCTCGGAAACTATTTACCTTATGCAAAAAATGAGCGTATATATGGTTTTAGCTAGCACCTAATCCTATAATTTACATTTTTACATTATGCCTAAATGCTATGATGGTGCAAATCCATTTTTCAAAATCGGCTTAACTTGTGCCATGGAAACGTAGCCTTTGTGATGTCAATTCCAGGTTATGCAGGATTGGGAATTAAATGAACACTGTAGTACCTACTGTAGCATGTTTTTAGATTGGGAACTTCCCTCCGGTTGACTAGCCAAAACCAAGCCAAAACCGAGCGAACTACCAACCAAACCAGGAAATATGCCTTGAACAGAACGGGTATTGGGAAGTATAAAAAACGGTCTCATTCCTGATTTAGGGCAATAAACGCATTAGTCAAGATTCATAAATCCCGCTTTGAACTGTGACGAAAATGATCGGTTTTTCGTTGCAGCATCCCTATGGATCCTGTGAAGATTCATGTCTATATGGAGTCCCTATCAGCCTCACTCATCAAAGAAGCGCCGGCATTCACGGTAAGAGTGAAACGAGCGACGAAAATACCTGAACTGACTTGGCAGGACCTGACCATCATAAAAGCGTACTTAACTGATCTGGCATTAGTTGGTTCGGCGTGGTTTGGCATCGTGGCCGAATCTGACCTGTCCAAGTTTGACCTCACGAGGACAGCAATGACCTGACTTGATCTCACGTGAGGCTGTCTTAGATTACCAAACTTTGCTTGGCTTTGCTCGACCTGTAACGACCTGACCTGATGTGTACTAAGCTCTTGATATACCTAGACCGATTTAGCTTAGCCGACTGCCGTTGATGTTTTTATGTACATTTACCTACACTCTACAGTGGCCTGACCTTGTGTGACATTTTTCATAGCAATAAACAAAGGCACTTGACGAGACCTGATATTCACTCTGACCCTCACCTGATGCTGATCCAATCTGACATCTGACTCTGACCGGACATGACCTTTGACCCTAACCTCTGACATGACCTGAGCTGACCTGACCTCTGTCCACAGCCGTTCACCCTCATTTCAAACATCGGCGGCTCCTTCGGACTGTTCGTCGGTCTCTCGCTCGTCACCGTCGTCGAGATCCTCGAGTTTCTCTTTGATTTCTGCGTGATGATGGTCCCTCGTACCCGGCGCGCACATGCGGCGAAAAAAGGCGTCGCGCCTGCCGCCTAGCGGCGATGGAAGGAACTGTAATGTGATCAAGTCGAACACAGATGGGCCTACTGCTATGTTGTGGGGCGTGATATTTGTTTGAGAAGGTAGCGAGCTGTTATTGAAATTGAACTTTATGTTGCTAGAAATGCGTGGCTTATGAGCGTTTGCTTTTAATTTATTAATTCTTTTCGTTACATTATATTAATCATTAGGAGGCGATGAATAAGGGCTCTTTTTATTAACTATTTTTATGTGACCTGTGCCGTCATTAAATCGGAATGGTGACATTTTATTGATGTTTATTGTTTGCTAGCCTTAATGAGCTCTTGATGTTTCGATGAAATAGGTTAACAGTTCCATAATTTTCTTCTTTACCTTCTTCACATTGCTTTTGCATCGCACCACTAATTGTGCTATATCTTCAAGTGTTATAAATGACAGCCAGTAGTTTTAGGATCAGGCGACCCTACGCACATGTGTATTGACCGTTGACGGGACAACCAAAGTGGAAATGTATCGAGTGCTGTTTGTTACCATATGACAATGTCTAGCTAATAATCATCTCTAGGTATAAGTATGCTTATCGATAAGTGTCTTGTTGTGTTGTAACACCTATGCTGGTTAACGGGCAGTGCCTTCAGCGACGCATTTACTGGTGTTGTGTGATATTTTATTCTATACGTCTCTAAGGACGTTAAGAGCGGTTCACATCAGTGCCTTTTGACAAACTGTGATACGTAGCAGCACGTACACTTAGCACGGTAGCATGCTCGTGATTAGGAGTTACCTAAGGTATAGCATAGCAATAAATGGCACGATACATCTCGAGTTTTAATGAAATACCGCGACTGGTTTTGTGATTTGTGATTTTGGGGTGCCCGGGTTCCGAGGTCATCGCCGCAAATAGCGCGACTGGCCTGAGATGACGCATACAGCATTTAATCGGCATGCCTGTCTTATTTTATCATTTCTTTATGTATTGAACGTATCAAACATATTATCGATAGAAGACTCTATTTACTATTTTCTTTTTTTCTAAGGTACTCATACTTCTAACTAACTTTCGTCTATGCCTATTTTTCTGCACACCCTCTGACTCGGTCCTATCGCAGGTTTGAAGTTCCTTAGTTCCCGAGTCCTGAGTCCAGCATGCTGTTAGCTTCAGTAGGCTCGTTTAGTACACACTACACCTAGCCAACATCTTTGCACCACAGCTGAATAGCAAGGCGTAATGAAGCCCAACCACCCATAGAAATGTTTCACGACTTCCTTGTGCTTTGCCGATGTCATCAGCGCATTACCGTGCCTGCCCTGCGGCTTCTGAAAGAACGCTGGTGCTGTGGAATGTCACCACGTAATTTGGGCTGTCATCATGAGGAGTTGCGCCTGTTTGCTAGCACATTCCACCAAATTGCAAGGCAAACGGTCACTGGTAGCAAGGCGAAGTGTTAGAAATATATGTTTGTTTGAACATGGTTTGATGTTTGGCGAAGGATGACAGTTAAATTAGAGGCTTTTCATGGTTCAAGACGCGGTATACGATGCGAATCAGCATTGGGACATTTCAAAAACCTTCAGTCAGGTTCACATGTTCTGAGCCCATTGAAAACGTCGCTAGTCAATTAGGAAGGGCATGTACTCATTCATACGTGCGGTGGGCTGTTCCATCTTGATGTTTGCTTAATACGAGCTGCGCTAGACAGTTTGTCGATTGATTGTGAAAACACCACGTGAAGAAGTAAACAGGTGTGCTGGAATGCCAGCAGTCAACTTGTCCGGTTGGTTGTTTATGGAAAGTTTTTGTTTTGCTGCTGCTTAGCCTGTAGAATACCCAAGCATCCTAATGCAAAATACATATATTGAAGTTTATGATTCGCTGCACTTTGAACAAAAGAGGGAGGTATACAAAGAGATGTAAAGATCGGGGGGGGGGGGGGAAGAGATGAGAGACATTTGTTCAATCTGTTTCATTCATTGACACGAAAACACAAGCCAGCTCTAAGACAGGTGTAGGTACTCACCGGTGTAATACGAAGTCTTCGTAGCGAAGTCCTCCCGGCGTAATCATGGCCCCTCCAGACAGTGACGTCCTCCAATCCTCCTACCTCGCACTATGCAAAATGTTTATGTCGTTTGAGCCTTATCATTATTTTAACGTCCCAAGTCGCCACCAGCCCGCTTATTATTTATGTTTACGTCCAAGGCAAGGCCGTATGATGGCTGACCTGGCACTGGTCAGTAGTTCCAAGGTCACGGCGACGCATCCAATGATCAGCCAATCAGGAGCGGTGACACGACTCTGGTGTCGCACGCCAGCCAATCAGAGACCGCGGAACAGCGCCCGAGGCAGCGACATGGGCCGGTACTGATGGAGGCATGGAGAGGTTCCGGGCTGTGTTATTAGGAAATACACGGTTAAAACCTGGTGTTAGCCGGTTTTTCCGCCAACCTGCGACTCTGGGCGCCCTCGAAGCCGGTCCCATGGATCCCCTGGTCACGTGATGGCGTGACCCCAGCCGAACGGTCTCGCCTGGTCACACGGACCGCTCAGCCAATCAGAAGCGAGGGTCAAGGCCGCCCGGCCGGCGTGGGACTGGGCGGCGCGCGCGCGGGCCACTTGGTCGGCGAACAGCGACATGTAGTTTAGCTGATGTGTGCTATCCCTAGCGATTCCAGGGGGTGGGTCATTTAGGGAAAATCCCCCTCGCTACGTCGTCCGAAATCGACAAACTTACGATTTTTCGAGAGCAAATAGAAAACAGCTTTAAAAGGAAACGTTTGTTTTTTAAATTGCTCAGCAGTACACAGGAAATCAAAATTTGGAGCGTTTTTGGAAATTGAAGCTTTTGTGGCTATGCCCCCGCAGCGTCCAAGACCGCCTTTCTGGATATGCCTGTATGTGCTTTCGAGTTTTAGAGTCCGAATTCGGGTGATGGCTGTCCACATGAGTCATTTAGATTTGTCACTTGACAGAGCCTGGATGAAAATCAAGCGACCCCGCGATTCATTTCTTCTTCGTTTCATCCGTGTTTGAACTCCTATTACTCGCAAGATCTTAAGTTTTTCCCCTAAAATTTCACCATATAACACGAACGCTTTGTCGCTTTTCAGACCTTTTTAATCATCACATAAAAACGAGGCGACCACAATCTTAAATTTCGTTATTCTAGAACGTATTCACCCAGAGATCACTTCTTGTGGTCTGCGGATAGATCTTATCGCAATTCGCAACGTCTCACCGCGCATCCTCAAACAAACAAACAACAACCATTTTCCTGTGTTCATTTGCCATCAAACAAACACTCGAGCTCACAACGATTCGTTTCAACTCACAAGAAACCACGCACTGTCTTTTTTAAAGCGCTGCCATCATTCAATGCACATAGCAACAGCAGCTTTGCGCACTTTGGCACAAGTCCAACTCGCTCAAATTTCGTGTAGCAGCATCGTACAAGGGGAATATACAAAACGCAACACCATTGGTGCTCTACAAGGACACACACAAATCGCTGAGAAACTCGTTGGCACAATTTTATCCCGCAAAGTCGCAGGAGGGTTCACATTAAAAGCATGGCACAGCTTGCAAGTTGTGAGTTGTGATTCCATAATTACACCTTCCAATAATAAAACAGTCGTGCCTCGCGCTTGGAACAATTCAAAACTTCGATTGAATGGCACAGACGAAAACAGGTTGGTTTGTAAAATAAATTAGTGGTTTAAATAGGGGTGAATAAATACGGTACAATTAAATAAAACAGCAGTACGCGCGGGGAAGATAGAGTTAAAAAGGGAGCACAACAGACGCAAAACAGAAGCCATGGAAGCTCACAAAGCTCAACACAGAACAACTCGCTCTCGCGTAAGATGACGTCACACATGTCATGACGTCACAAGCTCGTCTGTTCCCATGACGTCACACAGCAATATAAACACCTAACACCAAGTCGCTATCAGTCGTTATATCAAGTCCGAGTTTATACAAGCTTCTCATGGCAAACCAGAGGCTTAGACGTCCTGATTCGCGATCAGCGCAAGGTCAAGTCTCTCTCTGGTGCTTTCCTAGACCAGAGTGCGCCATTGCACGTTAGACGCACGCACTGTACGCCATGCTGCACGCATTGCACGTTGTGCACGCATGTTGCAAGAAACGTGCGCCATGTTGCATGTAGCCACACGATGTCCCATGTTGCACTGTTGCACGCATTGCAGGCATATGTTGCACGCATCGCACACCGTACATTTGTACGCAATCGTACGCACTAACGCAAACACACACGCAAAACGGGTCTAGCATATGCACACGTCGAAAACGGAAGCGCAGGGAACGGCGAAGGGAATTATCCTAATATCATACAATGCCGCACCAGCGAGCGTGCCCTAGAAGGGAAGAGGAGGGGGGAGATGGAGAGAGTAAGAGGTAGAAAGCGAGCGATGAGAAAAGTGAATAGGTATGCAAGGTTGATTTTCACCAGAGAATGGAATAAACACTTATTTACACACACTTGTAGCAATATGAACAGCAGAGGATGAAAGAAGCATTCAAGGGCGGAAAATGGGTGCTGGATGCATCATAGACAAGTCATAAACAGCGAAAAACGAAAGAAATAACACTCCCACCCCCTTTCACGGCACACTTTGGGAGGAGCAGCGGCAGTAGCGCACTCTGTCAGTCCCAGCCATTGCAAATGAACTACTAGTACACACACACGCCGCTAGGTTCGTTTCTGTCGCCAGCCCGTCGTTGTGAACCGTTCGTTTATCTCGATTGTCGATCGTTTCCGATTGCTATGGTAACCACGCCTATGTACAAGTAGTGGCAGGGGTGTGAGAGGGAAGAGGGAGGAGAGAGAACGAGAGAGAGAGGGTTTGCGGAGCTTGAACCACCCTTTCCTATTCCCCTCGCCAGTAATTAAATACTTGCCAAAGGGATCCTCAGGCCCCCTCATGACACAAATATCTTGGTAACGAGTAAGCCAGTAAGGCCTTCCTTCACCCCATTCTCCTCCCTTTAGTCAAAGGGTTCCCCTCTCTCCTATTATTTCCTACCAAAATGATGTCGCGTCATGATCCTCTCCCAAACTCCTTAGCCCTCAGTCACAGGGTCCTCTCATCCCACCCATCCCATCGGTCACCCCCTCTCCCCTCCCTCCCTCTCTCTCTCTCTCTCTCTCTCTCTCTCTCTCTCTCTCTCTCTCTCTCTCTCCCTACCCTCTCTTCTCTTTCCCTCTCACACGAGCGGCCTATCAGTCGGCGCATACTGACACGCCGCCATATTTCCAGTCTGCGACCTCGCACTTACCGCTGCTGGGCTATACGCTCCCACAGGAACACTAAAGCCCCCCGAATGCTGCTTAGCCCGAAGCCTCAAACTAGCAATGCTAGAAGACATAGACGGACATTGGTCCGGACGGACCGCATAGGCGGCGTAGGCGCCGGAGCCATAGGGGCACGTGGAGAGTGATGACGTCATTGAGGGCGAGCCAATGGGAGACGTGGAGACGGTGGGCGGGGCGCTGAAGCAGTTCATGCCGATACTGGCGCCCGGCGACTGTGGAAAGAGAGAAAACGGGGAGGGGAGGGGGTAGTCAGTAGTCAATGGGGGGGGGGGGGGGGGGGTAGTCAGTAGTTTGTAAGAGCAGTGGGGAGGTGGGAAGTTACGAGTGAGTCTGCAAAGTGAGGGCAAATGGTGTCATATCATGGATGATGGTTAAATATTAAATAACGAATGAAACAAAAAGGTAAAATATGTTCGAAATTCCAACTTTGAATTTAACTTTCAAGAGATTAGACAATGTGCCCTTTAAATAAAGACGGTAAACTTTATTTAAAGCCACTTCTAAGGTCCTAATCTACGTTGATATGCTGCTTATCCTATGAAACTTTTGACGGCCGTTAAATTTTAGCGTATTACTTCATAGTTCATTTAGCATAAAAAATGCAGGCAACCAAACAAAACACAAATAACTGAAAAGCCAGTTTAGTGGAGAACAGAAGGCAAAATCCCCAAAACCTCGATCCATCTCAAGCCCTACCCTCCTTTCTCTAACCATCCCCAAAATGATATCATCCCGCCATAATGACACCCTACCCCAAATTACATCACCATTCACCCGTACCCCACAATGACGTCATCCCGCCTCTCTCTCACCTGATTGGCCACACCCAGCGGGTTCACACCGGCATCAAATCCGGGCCAGAACGGTTTATGAGCCAGTGGGGACGGCACTTTAGTAGCCCAGTTCTGGTATCCCGGGTAGCCAGAGTACAGCGCTGCGTCCGGCTGACCGAACGGCTGCATGAAACCGTTGAGTTGTCCGCCGAACGAGCCCTTGATATCGGTGTTCATCATGACCATCGCGTTGCGCTCCCTCTTGCGCCACTTGGCGCGGCGGTTCTTGAACCAAATCTGTGGGGGAAGAGAGGGAGAAGGTTAGATAGAGTTAGGCACCGTGGACAAATGGCTTAGTGATTCAGAATTTTGGCGCGGCGGTTCTTGAACCAGATCTGTGAGAGAAGAGAGGGAGAAGGTTAGATAGAGTTACGCACGGTGGACAAATGGCTTAGTGATTCATTCAGACATTTGGCGCGGCGGTTTTGGGCCAGATCTGTGGGAGAGAAAGAAAGAAGTTAGGTTAGATATAGTGAAATGTTAATCACACGAGAGGGAAGATCACCGAGAGGGAAGATAGGTTTTTATCACTGAGCGCCTTCTGCTCTTGAACTAAATAATAAATTTATCGCAGGAAATAAAGGAAGAGGGGAGGTGAGATGAGATGTTCTTCTCACAGCTCCTTCCGCAAAGTTTACTCACACTTTTTCTTCCTGGACCAAACGTTTTCCGGACCCTTGCATTTGTAATTGCTGTAATCGCTTACAATTGTTGCCAGCAAGGCGCACCTGCCTCCACCCCTTTCCATCCCTACCCCACTCCCCAGTTCCACTTACCCTCCCCATTCCCCACTTTCCCCGTCCCCACCAAAGCCCACCCGACCGCTCCCTCCTCTCACAGACATCTATCTCAGAGCCGAACTTCTATTGTTTAGCTTCCACACAACACGCATGTCCTGGTACGGACAGAGTCAATATTTTGACACCGACATGGCGGCTAGTTCTGAAGAAACGTGTGAGCCTGGTTATCAGTGGTTATTGCCATTGGTTCTCAGAAAGAAAGGCATCGATGACAATAGCCAGTATTGTGACATCTCATCCGCATTTAGGCAAGGCGTACAACTAATACCAAGTGCGTTATTATGATCAGGTATCATTGATATCATTGGTATGATCAGGTATCATTAGAACGTAGAAGACGCACATCAAATGCTATTTATCAAATAGCCCGCCACAGGTTATGAAACTGAGAAATAACCATCCGTCACTGACTATCATTCTGTTTGAAAACGTCTTTGATCGTAGATCTTCTGTGTGATCTCTTGAAATGATCGAAAAGTCGTTCATGTTTTGGTCGCAGAAGTAAAAGAAACTTCACCAATAATGACTATTAGTTCTATGAGAAAAAAACACTTTTAAATGGCCTCCTTACAATGAAATACCGAAAGATGAAATAATGAAATAATTATTGATGATTTCGACCACAGGTCATTATCAAAATAAGCCAGACAGAACTTTTGTGTAACTTAATGAATAATGACTATTATTCATTCCAGACTCTTGAACTTTCGGAACCAACCCAACGGTCTGAGCCTTTGGCCCCACTTTTACCTCTCCCCTTCCATGCATGAATACGATCGTGCCAGACTTCCTGTAGTCTGTACGTGCGTGTGTGTGTGCGTGTGGTGCGTTCTGTGCGTGTGCTCAGATGGCTAGTAAGAGAGGAGAGCAGGTGTTCTCTCAGAGCTGTATCGTTTGTGTAATGACGTCAGATCTGACACGAGAGGAAAGGGTGGAGGGATGAGGAGAGGGGGAGGGAGGGAGGGAGAGAGAGATAGAGAGGGAGAGAGAGAGAGAGGGAGAGAGAGAGGGGAGAGAGAAGACATACGACATGCTACAGGATATCATAATTCACCGATGTTGATAAAAAAACAGGTTTGGACATCTCAACATCTTGATCTCAATCATTCCAAGTTACATCTACTCTTTATATCTACATCTACAAACTCAAAATAAATAGCAATCCTACAACATTTATTAGCTAGATATTGCATCAGAATTTCAGAGATCACCTCTCCCGCCCACTCAGTTCAGCCCTTCCTTATACAAACTCGGTCCGTTTACAGTACCCGGTCCCCTTGGTCAACCCAACCACTCCACTGGTAGCTCGGGACCCGGATTCAGTAGCTAGCGAGACTTAGGTCTTAGGCCACTTGAGATAGCCTAATCAGAAACATGGGTTTCGATGGGTCGATGTTGACAGGTGTATTGGCGTCTGAATCCCCTCCCCTCTACCCCTGATCCCCCCACTCCTCTACCCCTCTCTCCCACTCCAGACTTTATACTCTAACCCTTTCTCTCCTACGCTCTTGATCACGCTCTCGCATTTACCCGGGGGTTCTGCTTCACGAACAAAGCTCTGTAGACTTCAATGTTATGTCGTCGTTCTTTAGTTACATGAGATCGACTGAGATTTTTCTGGGTGTTGGATATTTCACTCCTCGTCTCAATCTAAGAAAGTGATGGTGGAATCATTATTTGTGAACGTATTTTTATAAAGGCAGCGTGCCTGCGCATAAATACTTTCAATCTAGCGCGACCCTATGCATCATGAGCACATTCTTGGCAAGCACACAAATTGACCATACCTCTAACTTACAGTTCATTGAACTTTGTAGGTGAAAACTTCTATATATTTGATCAACAGCTTCCTATCCTCGCATTGCATCATGCAACATTCATTAATAATACAAATATAGCTATATCGCCGCTACCGTCAGTTCTGCAGTGCACTTCACACTGACGAGAGGGCGCTTTAGTGGAGTTGACATGTGTATGATAAGCTACCAGGAATTACTTGAAGCGCTTTGTCAAGAAGATCGCCAAGTTGAGCTCTTGTCAAATGGTCAGAGTGGGGGCCATAGGCGGCGGAACGGGGAGGGCACCGGACTCCGGAGCACCGTGCCCCCCTTTGATTTCGGCATTTTAACATTAGCCCTATGGGCGTTGCATGGAAATAATGGGATCAAAAGTCGGCAGCAGTGGCGTACGCACATACAGGACATTCCGTGCATGCCCTGTCCCTTTGGCTCATCGTCCCCGGCGCCCTCAGTGACTGGCGCCCCTCTGTCCAGTGTTGGCGCTCCTCCAGTCGATAGCGGCGCGCTTCTAGTTGATGGCGAAGCCCCTCTGTCCAGTATTGGCGCTCCTCTGGTGATAGTGGCGCCCTCCTAGACGATATGGTGGGCCGGTGGCGCCCCTTTGTCCAGTATTGGCGCCCAGGCGCGGATCCAGGGGGGGGGGGGGGCGACGGGGGCGGCCGCCCCCCCCCCCCGCCATCCGAAAAAGGCGCCCATATCCCGCGGCAGAGAGGGCGCCCCGAGCAGAAGAGCGGCGACACAGCAAAGGTTCAGCAGAAATAGGGCGCCTCCAGCAGAAGTTGGGCTCACCAAGCAGGAGAGTGACGCCCAATTGCCTATTCCCAGCAGATGAGAGTCGCCCCAGCAGCAGATGGGCGCCCCCAGCAGAAGAGGGCGTCTCGTTACAAGAATATAAAATACCTTCTGTTCAAGAGGGGCGCCCCTGGCAGCGGAAGGGCACCCTTAGCAGGAGACGTGTCCCCCTGAAGAGGAGCGACGCCCCAGCAAAAGGAGAGAGGCGCCCCCATTCCGAGAAGAGGGGCGCCCTGACAGCAGCTGGGCGCCCCAGCAAAAAAAGGAGCCCCATAATAAGAAAATGGGTGCCACTGGCAGAAGAGGGGCGCCCCAGCAGAAGAGAGGGGTCTCCAGTAGGAGACGGGCGCCCCAAGCAGAAGAGGGGCGCCCCAGCAGAAGAGAGGCGCCACAGCAAAAGTTAATCAGAAATAGGCAGCCTCCAGCAGAGGTTGGGCCCGCCAAACAGGATATGGGCGCCCCATTGACAATATCCGGCAGAAGACAGACGCCCCAGCAGCAGATGGGCGCCCCCGGTAGAAGAGGGGCGCCCCATTACAAAAAGAAAAGGAGTATATTCTACCAAGAGGGGCGCCCCTGACGATAGCGGAAGGGCAACCCCAGCAGAGGGGCGGTGTCCCAGTAAAAGGAGAGGTGTGCCCCGCTCCGAGCAGCAGAGGGTCGCCTCGCCCCAGAAAAAAAAACAGGAGCCCCATAAGAAGAAAAGGGGTGCCTCTGGCAGAAGAGAGACGTTCCCCGCAGTGGAAGGGCGCCCCCACAAGAGTGGCGTCTCCAGCAAAAGAGAAGTGCCCCCTGCAAGAGAGGGGCACCCCACCAAAAGTTGGGCAGAAGTGGGGCGCCTCCAGCAGAATTTGGGGTCGCCAAACAGGAGAGGGCCGCCCTATTCACAGTAGAAAAGACTCCTCAGCAGCAAAGGGGCGCCCTAACAGAAAAGGTGCACTCGTAGTAGAAGTGGGACGCATCAGGAAGAAGAGGGGCACTTCTAGCCGAAGATGGGCGTCCCAGATAAGTGGGCCGCCTACAGCAAATTGGTCGTTCTTAGAAGGAAGAAATGAGGCGACTTAAGCAAAGTGGGTCTCTCCATAATGGATTAGGCGATCCAAGCAGAGGTTGGGCGCCCCCGGGAAGTGAGGCATACCAGCATAAGTGAGACGCTTCCAGAAAAAGGAGGGGGCATCACCGGGAGAAGGAGGACTGCACCAGTAAATGGAGGTCACCTTTTTGCTAATATCTTTTGCTAGGGTAGCGGTGCCCATCTACGACCCGTGCCGTGCTGGTGGTCTGAGTTTTCCGTGTCCTGCTGGGGAGGGGGGGGGGGCACACTCCCTCGTCTAACTCGGCTCCTGGGCCGCGTAGTGATACGCGATAAGCGGCATTTGAAAGATCGTCAAAAACAGGACGAAAACAAAACGGTCATTTTTTAGGTCAGGTCAAATGTCAGGTCACCAGAGGTCATCAAAGGTAAAATGTTGCCTGTTTTAACATTTTTCCGTTTTCGAAGCAGCGGCACATAACTCGGAAACCAATAGAGCTATAGCGCCGCAGAAAAGCGCATTCGATAGCCCTTTTAAAGGTGTTTCTGCAAGCTGCGCTCAGATTTGACCTCAGGTCAACGGTTTAGCCTTCAGAGGGCAAAAGACTCTAAAAATAGCCTTTTTACGAACAATGTTTTCCTGCAATAACATTTGACTCAAGAGAGTCTCGACATTACGTTTGCCAGCATTGCGTTTCTGTCGTCGAGACACGTCGAACAAACTAAAGGTTGACCTTATGAAGGGTAATTTTGAGAATTTGACCTCAGGTCAAGGTCATTACCTGACCGGAAAAGGTCATGCTGCATAGCAGTCGATGCGTATCGTCGAGCTGAACACAGCTGAGGTGTTTTTATCGCTCTAGCTTGAATCTATCAAAAGTTATTAAAAAAAACTGCTGCGGACCTTTCATGACATGGGATGACCTCTGGGACATAATGAGTGGTCACACTAGGTGCAATGTTCTTATTCAGCGTGTTAATTTTATATGTATCCCAATGCTTGATATTGTCTAGAATGGCGCTCGTCCAAAAGAGATGCCTTTCAGTTTTCTCCAAAGACTTAATTATACCTACCTACCTAATGGAGACGTCGCACAACTGACCTGACCTTAGGTCACAGATATCGAAATTCCGAGATATACATTCCATGGATAGTGTTGCTTTCATCAATCGCTGAAAGGTTCAAAGCAATCGTTCAGTCGGTATAGCAATGGTAAGCATTTGAACTTTTTCTTAGGCTAGGTCACTTGGCATAACCTGGTGACCTGACCTTCCATCACCCGCGTCAGACATTTTTACAACATGTGCAAAAAAGATGCATGATAAGGTATGCTGAAAATGGCGGCGCTGCGCGCAGCCGT